AGACAACGAATCTATAAAGTATGGAACTCCAGCCGAGACCAACCTCGACCCACCGAGGTCGGCGCAAACATCAAGATCGCAGATCACCCAGATAAGTCAAAATATGAGGCCGACCTCGAGCACACTGAGGTCAGTACCAAATCCGACTTAAAGCGCGAGCACGAGGTCAGCGAAAGTCAACAAAGGCGAAGAAATAAACACCACTGGACTAAGTAAAGGCCAGAAATGGATTCCCCAGCATGAGCTCATTGTACCCGAGCTCTGACCTCACGGAGCTCGGGGTCTCGCTAACCAAGTGTGGACTTAGACTATACGACAATCAAAATACTGCACAAGCCGCCACGTCATTAAACATTATACGAAGTGCCACATCACTCCAGGTGGGTAAAGTGAAGAGTATTCTGGATAACACATGTGTGCTCTGGTATGATCTGTTACGCATCATTCAAATCAGCCAGTTGTCCCAATTATCTCTCTGCGGAAACACACTTTTACGGGGTTTTCATAATAATTAAAGATTCCATTTACAAAAAGAAATTAAGAGTCAAAAGAGAATCCAATGTATCGCTCAGCGGAAAGGACTTAGCGATAACTAGGGTTTAGGTTTTGGGCACGCAGATTGTTTGCGCAGTTTGTTCCACCGACCACGGCAAGCCCAATCAGTTTGTTTCGAGATAGACGCACGCCGGAGGACCTCGTCAAACCCGACGTCTCCTTGGATAGTCCGTTTGGTGAAGGCAGATTGCATGAGCCACCTTCTTCCACGGCAGCAGCTCGGTGAGTAGGAATATCCACAAACCAATGTGAACGAGATGGCAGAGGGATACAACCAGAAAGAAATTGAAGCTTTAGCGCATGCATATGGACAAATAGATATGGAAGGGGAAGATGAATTCCTGGTAGTGGAACCTATGGCACAAAGTTCTTCTAGTCACAATTTGGCCATGGTAGGAATAATCACGTCGGAGAAGTATGTACATTTCACTAGTATGAGGAAGATATGATTAGGGTAGTAAATGAGAGACCATGGATTTTTTTTTATCAAAACTTAATTGTTATGAGTAAATTAAAATAAGGTGATGTTCCTATGTCTGTTCCACTTAATAGAGCTGAGTTCTGGATTCAAGTTCATGACATACCAGTATGATATTTTACCATAGCTAATGCAGAACGAACAAGATTTTTTTTGGGACTCTTTATAAAAGTGGATGAACATAACTTTTCTAAAAAATGGCATCCTTTTATGAGAATTCGAGTCAACCTTGACCTGGGAAAACCCCTGAAACAGAAATTGTTCTTGCAAAAGGAGGAATGAATCATCTTTTGTGTCAAATTTTGATATGAGAAATTACCTAGTTTTTGCTTAATATGTAGGATAATAGGACATGCAGAAAGCCATTTCCCTCGTAAGAGGGTGGGAAACAAGAAACCAGGGGAAAGACCGTTCGGTCCGTGGCTTAGGGCAACAAAAGGGAGAGTGCGGTTGAGAGAGAACAAAGGGCTTGTCCCAGCGGGAAAAGAGATCAACATTAATAACCAGGCTCATCTCGGAGGCAGTGAGATTGACAAATGACAAGCAAGGGAGGCTTTGCAGGATGGGACGCTGGGGGGGCTGGAATAGAAGCGTAGATGTGTGGAGGAAACATGAAACCTCCTTTATAGGGTGGAAATGGAGATAGAGCATGCTCAGGCAAAAGATGGGGAAGAGGCGAGCTACAAGTCTGTGGCTCGCCAAACACAGCTATGATCCTTTCATAGCACATGGGAATAAAGAAGGCTGAAGACCTTCAGACAGTTTCTTTCTTTTGCGTTTATTTATATTCTATTAAGTACTTCGTCCTTGTTGTTTTTGCGGACATAAGCGGTAGGCCATTTGGTTATTTGTTCATATGTCTTTTGAAGCCATTGAAGCCTTCATTAGCGATAGCAAGATTAGAATCTTGTGAATTCACCTCCCTTTTCACATAAGAAGAGCTATAAAGAGCGCACAAATGTTAGAATATCATGAGGAAAGGAATGGCGTTTTCAGCCCACTCCAAAATTTCTAATTAAAAACAATACCATATCTTCAACTTTCATAGTGCTAAATCAATAAAACTCCTGATCATCAAGAATATATTATTTACGTTATAAAAAACTATACGAAATTTGTTCTATTAAAACACAAATTAAATTTCAAGTGCTAAAGATTTTGAAGAATTCAATTTCCAAAACATATCCAAGAACAAGCAAATTGAAGGATCCAATCCTAACTTCCACGAAGCTTCCTCCATGTGCAAGAACGACAAGGGGAGGTTCCATACACCTAGGAGTGATCTTCCTTCCAACCCCCATGTTAAATCCCACTTTCTTTCACCTTCCTAGTGCCTAGTTTTGGTACTATAACTAGAAAGCTTGGAGAGTGAAGTAGTTCTTCCATCAAGCTTCTGTATCAGAAGTTGTGACGTTGTGTTCCACGAAGATTTGACAATAGAAGATGTTGAAACCCCCACAATGTCTCAGAAGTCGAATGAGGGTGCTCAAGTTTCAAATGAAGCATCTGAATTGTTTTTGAGAAACAATGATGACGTGCATGAAGAAAACTCAGAAGCAGAAGAAGATGAGCAGACATAAGAGAGTGCAGAGCAAGGGGAGTCAAAACCCACCTCGCCTGACACAGATGATGGTAGTTCTTCTCAGATGTTTCCAACTATTCGTAGATCTGAACGAGGCCATATATCATCAAAAAGGTACACATCATCTGAATATCTTTTGTTAACTGAAGATGGAGAACTAAAGAGTTTTCAAGAAGGTGTGTCTCATAAGGATAAAGAAAAATGGCTAACAGCAATGCAGGATGAGTTAGAATCTTTGAAGAAAAATCAAACTTATGAGATCTTAGAACTTCCTAAAGGGAAGAAGGAACTAAGAAATAAATGAATGTTCAAGCTAAAGAATGATGCAAACGGACAAGTGGTGAAACATAAAGCTCGCTTGGTTGTCAAGGGATTCCAGCAGAAGAGAGTAAGTGACTTTGATAAGATCTCTGCACCAGTTGTCAAGATGACCTCAATCCAAGTTATACTTGGCTTGGCAGCAAGTATGAACTTAGAGCTTGAACAGATGAATGTGAAGACTGTATTTCTTCACGGAGATTTGAAAGAAGAAATCTATATGCAGCAGTCGGAAGGTTTTGAGAACTCAAATGATAACTTTTTGTGTAAGTTATCTAAAAGTTTGTAAAAGCAGACGGTAACTCAAATCATAACTACACACACTTTGTGTGTAGTTATCTAAAAGCAGGCACCAAGGCAGTGGAATAAAAAGTTTGACTCATGCATGAAGAGTCAAGGCTACAAGAAGACTAATGCGGATGAGTGTGTATACATCAAGAAACTTGCAGACGGTTACCTTCATTGCTCTTCTACTATATATAGACAACATGTTGATCATTGGAAAAGATGCAGTGAAGATAAACCAGCTGAAGAAAGAACTCTCTAAGTCTTTTGATATGAAAGACTCAGAACCGGCTCAACAAATTCTAGGGATGCAGATCACTCGAGACAAGAAGAATCGCAAGTTATGGCTATCTCAGGAGAAGTACATTGAACGAGTACTAGAGAGATTCAACATGAATGGTGCCAAACCAGTTAGTGTTCCACTTGTGAATCACTTCAAGTTGAACAAAATAACATGTCTCACATCCAAGGAACAAATTGGGGAGATGTAAGCAGTTCCATATTCTTTAAGAGTTGGGAGTTTGATGTACGTCATGGTATGCACAAGGCCAAACATTGATCAAGAAGTGGGTACAGTGAGTCATTTTCTCTCTAACCCCGAGAAGGAGCATTGGGAGATAGTCAAATGGATTCTCAGGTACTTGAAAGGTACCACAAAGTTATGTCTTTGCTACGGAGGAGTTGATCTAGTTTTGGAAGGCTACACAGATGTTGATATGGCCAGAGATATTGATACTAGAAAGTCTACTTCATGATATATCCACACTTTTGCAGAGGGAGCTGTTTTGTGGCAATCAAGATTACAGAAGTGTGTTGCTTTATCTACAACATAAGCAGAATTCATTGTTGTCGTTGAAGCTGGTAAGGAAATGTCGTGTCTAAAGCGCTTTCTCCAAGCACTTGGGATCCAGCAGAAACAGTACAAGGTAAATTGTGACAGTCAAAGTGCTCTAGAATTGAGTAAGAACTCCATGTACCATTCTCGTACAAAGCATATTGATGTTCAGTGTCACTGGATACGGGAGACGGTTGGTCAACAACTTTTGAGACTAGTGAAGATTAATACAAAGGAGAATCCATCAGCCATGCTGACAAAGGTAGTGACACGAGATAAGCTAGAGCTATGTAGAGACATAGTTGGGATGCTTGTTTTGAATATGCCGAGGATTTGAAGATCACTAATGATTTGAGTGGATGGACGAGGAAAGATGGAGATAAGGTGAAGAGTGAAAAAGGAAAAGGTGGGTGAGGGAGAATAACAAAGATATGGGTGACAATACTAAGATGATGGTGGGAGGGAGTATTAAATGTATGAATATAGTGTTTTATCGAAGATCATCGTATAGAGATGGACAAGATAAAGATCGACTAAATACGCTAGTGTTTTAGAAAAAGGTCGTACAAATTAAAAAAATAAATGCGTGAGGGTAGAGACAAAGATAAGGTGAAGAGTGAATAGCGAAGAGGTGGGTGGAGGAGAATATAAATAACAAAGAGGCTAGTGACAATAAGCAAGTGGTGAGTGCATTATGTGAAGTACTAAATGGATATGAGAGGTTATTATTTCACATTGTATTTTGACTTGTATGTTATGATTTTGGCGATGTTTGGCATAAACTTTCAGCTCATAAGGGGCTTTAAGTTGTAAGACTCAATCAAAAAATGTAAAAGTAGTCATGATTGAGTGAGCGGCTACACAAAGTTGAAGTTCAAAAAAGGGTTGAAACTCTGGTATTCAAGTTAATTTGATTAAAATATTGGTGGCAATATTCCAAACTATTTCGAAAATAAAATAAAATTTGGATTATAAAGCATCTCATATTTACATGTTTTGAGCTACATAACACAGTAACTTTACAATCACACGATTCACACCAGATCTTAGAGGCAACCAAACATAACTATTAATTAATCCTAATAACATAAAAATAGCAATGCAAAATAGTCATATATTTATTCAATTATTATTACAATCATCAATCACACCTTCTAGTTCTCATAAATATTTGTATACATTTATAGTAACTACAAAATAAGATGAACAAAAGACATGATATGACGAAACAACAATACAAAAAATGATGGAACTTGATCAGCCATAAATGATTTCTAAGTCCTAGAGTCCAAGGCCATGATGGTGGTGAGGTTCATTGGATTCATGTACTCGTTTGTACCAGTCAGGATTTGGTCCACAATGATCCTGCTAGCCTTTTCTGTTGGATGGAATCCATCCCAAAATGCAAACAAGCTCCTATCTGGACACAAATTTGAGACTGGTGTGCAAAGGCCAATTCCATTGTATAGACCTTGTCCACAACATGCTATTTTTGATGTCACAAATCCTGCTCAAACATCAAGTCTATGAGCCAATGTGGACAGAAAAGTTAATGCAAGGGGGCTGGCTATATATATTGAGCAAACAATACTACTAACCGTAAGCAGCGGGGTTCGAGACGAAGTCCATGTTCATTTGGTGAGTGTTAGCCGCTATAAAGACGTTGCCCCCGACCTCATTGTTGAGTTGAGAAATGAGCTCGCGCAGTTGGGGGTTGAAAAGGCCAGCTGCTCGAACCAACTCCACAGCACATACCCCGGTCGGGCTCCTCTGTGCCAGCTCTGATGGCACACACCCTATTGGTCCTGTTCCTGTCACCAGCACCCTCCTTGCTCCCAAATCATATAGTTTCTGCATCATTATTATTCATTGAATATACTATTTATACCACAATTCTGTACATAGACAAGCTGAACTCGCGGGTAATCTAGTTTAGAAGAATGAGTTACCAGTAGAACTTTGCGGTACTCCGAAATGAGGTAATGCACGTAGTCGGGAAGAGAGTATTGGCGAGATCTTGCAGAGAAGGGAACCAAGTAGTAGTTGTTCACGAAATCGTTGCCTCCGAGGGTAATGAGGACCAGTGCATCATTGACCAGCTGATTTGTCCCTTCTTCTCCAATGAGTTGACTCACTCGCTTCTGGTACTGCTGAAAGTACTCCAATTGTTTCCCAATTCTGATTATGTTCAACTGCAAATTTTCAACCCCATATTACAATCACAATTATGATTTGCTATATTCCACTTTACAACGCGGGTGAGCTGAGCACTAGTGGAAAAGTATTCCATATGAGCTTTAGTATACATAATCTTGTATATCCTCGATTTTAAATTAAGTTTCCACGTTTTAATTTGATGCATATAGTAAATATGTCTCATTCAGATTTGTATAGATCTCAAAGAAATACCAAGAGCCCGTTTGGTAGCACAAAAATCGGCTGATTTGATTGATTCTGGTGAAATTTATGAAGTTCTGGCTGAAATGGCTGCATTGACGGATTCCGTTGATTTGAGGAAAAAATAATTTTAAAATATATTTTATTAATAAAATAAAAAAAAAATTATATGTAAAAATAGCTATACGTGTATTTTGATCTCAAAGAAATGAAAAAAACATACAATTTCCTTCTCAAATGAAACACAAATGTTATTTTGATCCTTTACTTTAGAATGACAAAAATGAAAACGCACGATCATATTTTTGCAGTGAAGTTACAGAACAAGTAAGTTGAAGCCTTTGATCTCACACATAAAGTTCGGTTTAAAGGGAACATTTGTTCATTTTCACTTGAAACAATGTCAAAATAATCATAAGTTCATGTCTTTAAAAGTGTTAATGAACGTGTATAAAATAAAACTAAGTACTTTTTAAATGATATGACAAAGAATGATACATCTACTCCCTCCGTTCCTAAATAAACTTCTAACTTTCCTTTTTCGTCCGTTCCTATTAAAACTTTCACTTTCCCTTTTTAGTAAAGAATTTGTAATTCACAACATTTCTTTCACATTTCTCTCTCCTCTATACAACTCTCCACCACACAATACCCACTATCTTAAATTATGTGACAAACTTATTTGGAAGTTTTAATAGGAACGGAGGGAGTACTAAATCTACCCGTTTGAGTTTTTTCATTATTTTCGGAGATGGATAAAAAGAGCATAAAATACATGAAATCAAAATAATTAATTTTACAAGATCGGTACTGCAACAAACACTATATTTATTAGATATACGGGCTAAAACATACTCCCTTCGTCCCAAAAAATACTTTCCACTTTCCTTTTTGGAGCGTTCCAAAAAATACTTCCTATTTTCATTTTTGAAAAGTTTTTTGTGGTCACATTCATTTACCCTTTTCTTACTCAATTATGATCGTACATTTTCACTTTATTCACATTTTTTTAATAAACGTGACAATTCAAATGGGGAGTATTTAACTATTTAAGTCATTTTCGAAATATTAATTAACTTAGTTAGATACGTACAAACTGAAAGCCAGTGTCATTAAGGATCCCAACTCCAGCAGAAGCAAAGTTGGCTCCGTCCAGAAGCCTATCTCCGGTGAGCAATGGGCTCAGATATGGCTCCGCCACCGGAATCCCCAGCTTCTCACCTTAAAAACACAAAAAAAAACATCTTTAAATCATCAATAAAAAAACAGAACTGAACATTAACTTCCCCTTTAGTTAATTAACATACTAATGATATCTGGAATGCTGAGGCCGTTGGAGAAGCGGCCGGTGGGTCGACGGGTGGGGTAGTCGATCCCATACGGCGGCGCATCAGCTCGGGCAGTAGTAGCCAGGTAGTTATTGTTCCCATTGTCGACAAGCGAATCCCCGAAAACGAAGAACGCGCGGGCATCAGCCGTCTTCCCGGAAAATGCAAGAAGAAGAAGGAGGAGGAGAAGGTGGGAGAGCATAAAAGAATTTGGGGCTGCCATTTATATGTAATGATCGGATTCTGGGTTTTGCTCCCAGTGAATGATGAATGATGAAAATGCTTTGGAAGTTGTGTAACAATAATGGGGGCAGAGCAGCTGCTTTTATACTACAAGCAGGGGGATTTGCGGGAGGTGAATATAATAATACTCCGTATTATTTAGATCACAGTCACTTAATTTACTACAGTGTGTTTTAAAAAAACAGTTGAATTAGTTGTATCTCTTTAAACATTATGGCCCCATTCGACCAATATCTTTCGGTGATCTATATGCTAGAATTATACATGGATTTCTTAAATAGGAGTAAAAAAGTTTTGAAATTCCAAAATAGGAATATCATGTTTTTTATTCCTTGAATAAGAGTAAATTTCTGCCAAGTTTGATATTACTAGGCTTTAAAGGATGACATTTTTTTCAAACTTGGCAGATTACTCCTATTCGGGTAATAAAAAACATGATACTCCTATTTTGGAATTTCAAAACATTGTTGCTCCTATTTATAGTAATTTCTAAATTATATATCACCGTGTTTGATAAGCTTTTATCATAGCCCGGTATATATAAGTCGGGGGAGTTGGGGATCATTTGATGCCAAGTATGTAGCTTAAGGCCATCTCCAACAAGCACCAAACTTGACACCAAAATGGTGTATTTGGCAAAAAAAATGCTCCAACAATAGCACCAAACTTGACACCATTACACCAAAATAGGGGAAGGGGGAATGGTTTCCGCCATATATGGCGTGCGCCATTTGTTGCGCCATCAACTTTTTGTATTTTTTTTTTCTTTCAAATGTGACCCAAAGTTTTGGTTATTATAGTTTTGACCCATGTTTAAAACAACAAAATAGGAAGTTTTACTTGGACTGAAATTTGTTGGTCCGGTCTAATTTGGTCTGGTCTGGTCTGAATTGATGTGGTCTGGTCTGATTTCTTTGTATTTTTATAACCACCCATGTTTAGTCTAATCCGGTTTGATCTGATCTGAAACAAATTACAGTCCAAGTAAAAACATCCTTGTACAACAACAATCAAAACAATTAATTTGATAAAAATAATATAATAACATTTAAATCACACAATATTATAAATAAAATTTGAAATGCGTGAAAATACATATTAAAATGATGTATTTTAGTTTGTATGTGTGAAATAATGTGCGAAATGTCAAAATATTAAATGAGGGGCTAATGTATAAATATAAGATAGTTAGATACTTAAATAGAAGAATGGTAAAAAATTAGTAAAAAGAATAAAAAGAGAATATTCCTTTTTGGTGATGAAAATGGTGTAAACTGTTGAAGATAAAATACTGTTTGATGTGATGTTTACACCATTTTAGTGTAAAAATGATGTTAACTGTTGGAGATGACCTAACTAACTACTATCTTCGTCCCACTAAATGTTAGGACATGATGAGATGGTGCAGTTATTAAGAAAATATTTTTATGTGGTTGATATTGAATTAATAGGACAAAAAAGAGGTGAGTGCCTGAGATCCCATAATCATCGTCAACCAATGTTTAAATGTAAGAAAAGTTGTGTCTAACCAGCCTTGCCAACTACAAATACAGGAACTCCATCACCATATCAAATTTGTCGATCGAGCGATGATGAATACACCAATTCTATAGTGCTAGGAAGAAAATATACCACCGATTCTATAAGAGTTTGTTTTGTAGCCCTGTTTTTTCAGCTTATCGGGTTTATCAGCCAAATTTTTCATCAAACACGTAAATTTTGATTTCACGTCCTGAATTGCGTAACAATAAGAAAAGGTAAGGTTGAAATTACTTTTCTGCTTGTATTGGCTGAAATAACTGTAGATGACCATTTTAGCTATTTTACATACTCCGTATAATTTTTTCTTTATTTTATTAATAAATTATATTTAATTTTTTGTTTTAATAAATCAACATAATCATTCAATTCAGCCAGAATTTCATAAATACCAAGCGGGCTCTAAATGGAATTGTAGCTGCATGTGAAAAATCTTTCGTCTTGTTGAAAGAAGAAACATGCCATTAATCTCCTAAATTGTGAAATATTATACCAGTAAGGTATAGAAAAAGAAAAAAATGCTAAGTAGGAGTAAAAATGTTTGCGAATTTCGAAACAGGCAGGGGCGAAGCTACAACACTTGGATGGATTGGACTGGTACAAAGAAGATTTTTGGAAAGTTTTTGACACGAAATATTTTACACTAAAAATATAAGCACTTTTTAAATTGGGTTGGGCCGCGGCCAGGGTTGGCCCCCCTAACTATGCTCCTGGAAATAGGACTACTATATATTTATCACTAAATAGACATAAATATTGTCATGTTTTCGCATTATCAAGCTTTAAATATAACAGTATTTTCCAAAACTGACAATAAATATTCTTATTTAAGAAATAAAAATAGAATACTCCTACTTGGAAATTTCAAAATATTTTACGGAAAACGTTTACGGAAAACGTTAAACGGTCCTATTCAACCGCTTTACTTATTTGAGTACAAAATACTTCAACTTATCTGTTTTATTAACTAACATAGCACACACACAAAATATTTGGTAAAAATAAAATTGGTAAGAATCATAAATAAAAAAGAATATGGTTAGGAAATGACCAATTACACCGATAGAGTTTGGTGGAACATAATTAATATTATAGGGTGTGCATATAGAAGCAGTTAGCTATTTAATTTTGGTTGATTCTTGTGCATGCAAGCTGGGTCAGTTTGGTGTGGATCCTAGCTACAAGAGCTGTTGTGCGTCGGTTATTTTAGTATATCTTGTGAAACTTAACATGTTTTTTTTAATCTGCTCTATTTAAGGTAATTGATTGATAGGCAACTACCTCAATGCAAATCTATTCCTCCTCCGTCCCAAAAAGAATTTTATTTTCCTTTTTTGACAGAGAATTTGTGATTTATAATAATTATTACACATTTTTACACATTTCTCTTTCTTCTGCATAATTCTTCATCACACAATACCCGTTTTCTTAATCTGGATGCCATTTGTACTGTACAAGAACTTTTATGGAGAGGGAGTATGGATGAGTAACAATATGGTGTTGGGGATCGTAATATCCACTTTGTCTTTTCTACCATTTCTGATATGTCCAGACAAAATCTTTTTATTTATTACTGTACTAATATACGGTGCGGAGTAATTATTATCAAGATTTTATAGGACTTTTCGTACCGTGTGCAGGGATTTTATATTAGTCATGCTATATTGCTATCCGACGGACCATGTTGTACCGATTATATAAGTAATGCTATTTAAAGAAAAAGCAAGAGAAAATGTGAAAATGTAGGGGTGAATCTAGTTTGCTTGTTTGATTTGAATTTGGTCTGTCTAAATAATACGGAGTATATGATATGATTGAATATTTAGTCACAGTGACTCAGATCAAGTGAAAGTTGGCATCCAATTCCGATCCTACATCGCCACAAAAGTAAAAAGTTATACGATGTACACAGTATATATTGTCCTTCATTCTTTTTTAGTTGCAACATTCCTTTTTTCATGTTTATCAATGCACAATTTTGATCATCATTATATTTAATTCCCTATTAGTAAAAAAAATTAAAAAAAAAAATATGAAGCTTTGTAATGAGATGAATTCAACAATATTTTAAAAAAAAATTCACATACATTAATAAATAAAATGTGGTCAAAGCAATGTACATGAATAGTGTGTAAATTTCAATGTTGCAACTAATATGATACGGAGGGAGTATCTAATCAATGTATAAGTGCATGGACGTAGCTAGGGGCTGGCCAACCTAGGCCTTTGCACATCCTAAATTTTAAAAATGCCTATATTTTTAAGGTAAAAAATTTTGTGTATTTTTTTTAAAAAATATTCTTTGTACTGGCTCAGTCCCCTCACCACTGGCTCTGTCCCTATATATATGTATTTTTTTTGTGTGAAATAGAATTCATACTACGTATTTTTTACTACTTACGTAATACTCAAATTAGTTCAATAAACATCATAACAACATGCTTTTTCGATCCTGCTTTATTTCATAACAACAAATACTCAAATAGTCTAATGTTCTAACAAATGAAAACCCGACGTTGCCTTCCTCAAATATATTGACTTCTAAGTCCTAACTAATGTACAATTCATAAAAAAAAATCTATGATAGACAAGTTATGGTACATTATACACATACATGCATGAGCCAATCACAATATTTCATTTGAATAGTCTAAATATAACTAGTAATAAATACTATCTTAATGAGTTAGACGGAGTAAAATTGCGGTACTCTCAATTTTTTATACGTACTATGCATGCAGCTTTTCAAAGCAATAGACGTAAATTTTGACAAATGATTTTCATATATTTATTTATACTATCATATAAATATATCATTAACCAAAATTTAAAAAGGCTACCTAGACAAATTCAAAAATGAAAATTTGAAGGGACTTAATTAGTACTAGTGCGTTCCATTAGAAGGTTCTCGTCCACTATTCATATGGTCAATTTAAATCATTTTTTTATCAAATTTTATTTCCTAAAAATAGTCAGAGTGTGAACCAGGATTAAGTTGTTTTATCATCAGTCAAACATCATAAACCGTTACGTGAACTTCTAGCAGGACGGAGGGGGTAACATATACGGAGTATAATTTTAGTATTCTTAAAAGAACTAGTATGGCACCCGTGCGATGCACGGTGCGAGAATTGTGGTTGGGGTGTAAACATCGTTATAGATAAAATATAATTGGATATAAGTTAATTATGAACATTAATTATAAGAAATAAATGTAAGTCATGGCAATATGTAATGTTATTATCATAGAATTTGAAACATTACAAATTATGGAACACTTCCTTGCAGACAACATTCATCGTCTCATCCTTTGGGCAACCTTCTTCATTAAGAATGAGGATTTTGAGACCCGCGCGATTGGTTACTCTTGAAACAGCAACATATAATTGTCCATGACTGAAAACCGGTTTTTTCAACAGGAGACCAACGTGGGTGAGGGACTGACCTTGACTTTTATTGATGGTCATTGTATAAGAAACCATAATAGGGAATTGTCTTCTTTGAAATCTAAATGGCAGCCTAACATCAGACCGGGTCAAAGATAGGCGCGG